CTTAGTTTGCATGCATGAACTTGATGCTAGAGTATAAGGGAGTTTCACATAATCGTTATGAACTTATATTCACAAGTAGTGGAAGTCATTAGTCATGATTGTGTTAAGTAAATCCTTGGCAGGAGTATCATGCTTTTCATAGTTACGAATGTCTCGTCAATGCTTATGATTTTCAAAGAAGTTAATGACCTTTGATATGTTTTCTATCATGTTTTTCATAGTTAGGGGACTTGAGAAGGATAATTTGGTTGTGATGCGTATCCCATCCAATTCAATGAAATAAGGAAAATCTAATGGTTAATTTGTGCTAACACGGTTAACTTGGAATGTTGTCATTCATGGTTTAAAGGAATAATAACTGAAAATTGGTTTGTTTGCATATGTTATGTGTGGAGAATGACCCTCTAACTAGCCTTTCACCCTTTTAAATTCACCAAATTCGTTTTCTTAAAGTGTTTTATGCAAAGTTTTTGTTTTAATTTTCAATTCGTCAAAAACAATCCCCCTTTCATTAAGTCTTATTAGTTGAGTCATAATTTGTTTTCTTTTAGTCCCCCTTTCATTAAGTTTTGTTAGTTGAGTCATAATCTGTTTTCTTTTAGTCTTTTGAGTCAAGTTAAGTCTTACTTTCGTCAAAACCACTTGTAAGGTCTAGAATTGAGTCTTTTTTATTGTTTGTTGTTGTTTTGAGTGTTTTGAGTTAGTTTTGAGTCTATAGAGTCTAGTTTAGTGTTTTTTAGTCTATTTGTATTGATTAGCAGCCCTAGTTAATCCCTAGTCTAGAACGATTCCTACTTGCTTAATACTACAATTACATGTTTAATAAGGTTTAATTTGTGTGTCGAGTTTATTTTCACATCAGTCAATGTTGAGAAGCAGTCCAATGACATGGATCCAATGAGATGGATGTAGTATCGATTTGGCGCTATAATGAGATCAGTGCAATGGACAAGGCCACGCATGGTTGCCCATCCGATTTTAAAGGTGGCTAGGTTCTTTCTCGTCTGTTGATCATCGTCCAACAAATAAGATACTCAAGAGAAGAAGAGTTGGTCCAAGAGGCTTATCGGATGCCTAATTCCTAGGCCCATAGCACTGGTAACGAAGTTATTGAAGCTGACCACGGTGTCGAGCCCATAGTCGAACGCCAACTGGTTGAAGGTCCCAGACTTCTTGAGAAATCAAACCAGTTTAGTAAGTTTGGACCTTTCATGTAACCATATTCAAAAGGTACCCAAGTGGATTTGGAGCCTTCATTCCATTTTTTTTCCGTCTAAATCTTTCTTCCAACTCCTTGGTAACTCTTCATGTAATCTTTTCAGTATTATTCCAACTGGGCCTAATTGGATTATTAGTACCCATAGTAATAGGGTAGTTCGAAGATAGCCCTTGTGGTAAAAAATAAAATATTAGGATTTAAGCCCATGTGGTGAAGTTCGTAAGGATTTAGGCCTAAAATTGAAAATTTCGTCAACCCTCCGTTAATTAATAGCATGTGAGCCACACATATGAGGTTAAAACAGAAATTTTCATCAATTGTTAGCACATGAGGCTAACTTTATCCATTTAGCCTCATATGTTAACAATTAACGGAGAGTTGGCAAAAATTTTAATTTTGGGTCTAATCCTAACAGACTTCACCACAGGGGTTTAAATCCTATTTTTTTTACCACAAGGGCTATCTTCCAACTACCCTATCACCAAAAGAACTATTAATCCAATCAAGCCTTCCAACTAATATTGGTGATTTCTTTTTTCCCCAACACTTGGTTCTTTTCTCTTATGAAATGATTACACCATTCATCATGTGATATGATGATATGAGTATTATGGGTGGGCACTTGGAACCAAAAATCGAAACCGAAACACGAATCAAATCGGACCGCACCGAACGGCTTGATTTTGCGGTTTTGAAACGGTTGCGGTCTCAAAATTGAACCGTGGCAAAGAAAACGGTTTGATTTCGATTTTGGGTTTTCAAAACCGCACCGAAACCGAAACTGAAACCGCACCATTTTGAATGTTATGTTTTAATTAGTTCAACTACACTAGTCATGTTCAATTTTGCACCACTATTCGAGTCCATACATCTCTCTCTCTCAAAGGATATATGATGATATCATTTGTGTTTTCTGGAATTACAATTGGTAAGGACATCTAAAATGTTATTCGTTGGTCAGGTCCAAGTCCCATCTCCATTTCCATAGTCCAGTTTGCTTGTTGGAACGGTAGAGGTCCTATTTCTGCCATAAGCTGATGGTATGAGAAAGCTTATTGCTGCTCAAAATCCTGACTTAGTTTATATTGTTGAAACTGGAGTGAGATTGGTTATTGAAGATGTCAATTCTAGAAGTTTTATTTGGATTACTCGATGAATAACTTTGGTAGTTAATATATGAGGAAAATAAGACCATCTTATGCGTAAATAGGTGTATATTTTAAATTGTACATTTTTTTTCTAAAAAACCAAACCGAAACTGTTTGAAACTGCACCGAACCGAACCAAACGGTTTGGTTTCATTTCAGTTTTGGTTACGGTTTCACTCGAAACTGCACCAAACTGCACCGCGCCCACCCCTAATGAGTATATAATAATATGCAAGTAATATCCTTTAAGAACAAAAAATCGAATTACTAACATCCATTACGAAAGTTGTGCAAGTCGGGCTAGTCCATTGTACCTTTGCACAACTTATAAAATTGTTTGGACCCAATATTACAACATCGGCTCGTGCAATCGAGGCAATTGAGTGTGAAGGATTATAAGCCGTTGGATGAGAGAAATATTAAGGTGGTTTTCAATTATTTTATATTATTATGGTTGTGATAACCATAATAGTTATTTTCAAACTAATTGAAATTATCCTTGACGACAAGGAGTCTTTGAGTCCTTGTTAAAAGAGGTCATATCATTAATCTTTTCATCGAAGTAAGGTGTTCCCAGTTACTTAGTGTTCGTCACATTAAAAGCCCGAACCTTATTTGAACTTCATAGTGACTAGCAGTCTTGTCTTTAGGCTCTAGAACCCAGAAGCCAATACGAGTTCGTTCTTTGGTTGTGATCGTTTGAACAATATAAGTCAGCAGCGCGTTCGACACCACCACCACATTTTTTCTCAAGATCAAGCTTAGTAATTAGATGGTACACCTGAATTCACTAGAAGAACATAGTTAATTCATTAGTTATTCAGCATGCAAGCCACGTAAGCTAAGTTGTTTTTAGGGTTAACATTTTGGCACGTCCAGTGGGATCTAGTCTAATTCATAGCCTATTGAAGGAGATCCTATATCAACATGAGGCGAAAATAATCCTTGACACATATGAAGAGAGGCGAAAATCCTTCTCTTAAATGATAAGGATGAATGCTCATGGCACCTTGTAAGAACAATGGTTAAAAGAAGATAGAGCCAGATTTAATACGTGGCTTGATGAGAAAATTTTGCCTTTTGATTTTGCATACAAGTCAATTCCGTTTGAGATTTGGTTGGATCAAAATGTCAGGGGGCAACTTCTTGCTCTGGCCACAATTAAGCTTCGACTCAAGAAAATTATCAATTCAGCCGAAGAAAAAGTTTGGCCACTTATTTTTTTTGGTCGAGACTGAAAATTTCATCGACTTAGAAGAAAAAGTTCAAGTTTCTAAGCCAAATACAAAAATAGACTAAAAAAGTTATTTGTCAAAAGAGTGCTTTAATGACAAACAAGACCAATACACGGCCTCAGACGAAAAAACCATATCAATCGATATGGTTATTGACTAAACATATGGTGATAGGTATTTAAAATATTTGGATTTGCACATACCAATAAAATACTATAAAATATAAATTAGCAAATATATAAATCATACTAATTGGGAAAAGAATATATGGATATATAGTAATCCAAATATGAGGCAGCTACTTGCTAAGTGGATGGCAGTGAGGCAGCTAATGAATCTCAATAAAGAAAATTAGTCGGAAGTCTGCTTTACTTGACTGCAACCTAACATCATGTTTGCAGCCAGCCTACTCTCTAGATTCATGCACAACCCTACAAGAAAATACATGAGAACAGCAAAGAGAGTAGATACATTCAGGATGCTTTGGACTAAGGCATTGAGTATATCAAGGGAAAGTCAACACTTGTAATAAAATATTGTGTATTGATTGGGCATGGAGTGGAGATGATATGAGAACTTTAAGATATATATTTAATCTTGGTTTTGGGGTACGTTCATGGGCCTGAATCAAGCAAAACACAGTTGCACTCTTCACAACAAAGGATGAATATATCAGTGCTGCAAGAGCAACCTCTCAAGCAAAATGGTTGAGATTTGTTTTAGAAGATTTTGGTGAAGAAAGGGTTGAAGCCACACACAGATTTTATGTGATAACACTTTTGCTATAACCATTGCTAAGAAACATGTCTTCCACTAGAAAACAAGACACATTAACAGAACGTTCCATTTCATTCAAGAAGCGGCATAAGAGAAAGAAATTGAACTTTTATATTGCAAGACAGAGGAACAAATGAGTGATACTTTCACCAAGCCACTTCTAAAAGACAGGTTTGCATATTTGAGAGGAATGCTTGGAGTAAAATCTGCATAAGGTTTAGAAGGGAGGATAAATAACTCTATTAATCTCTGTTTTATTTGAGTTTTAAAACTTGTAATGTGTAGTTCATGCCAAATATAAGCATCTCATAGGATGGCTTATTTGAATGGTCAGAATTGATCTTTGTTAAGGTAAGAGATAGAGTGTCACCAGTTAAAAGCTAGTTGCAATGTGCCAACAAGTTTTACTTTCAAAAAAATTTCATGTGTTGGCTACGAAATCCTAGAAGGCGAGCCGTCAAAAATGTCAAGTTCGAATCACTCACAGCAGTGGCGTCTCAATTGCTCATACAAATATGGAGAAAAATGGTCCAAACAGTGGCGTCTGCCAACGATAACAAACATTATGGGAAACAAGAAAAGCTTCTCCAAAGCTCCCTAACTTTCTGTAAGATAAATTACTAAATTCAGAACAGCGTTGATTATGCAATCTGCAAGGTTTGTATTCCACGGCTTGGCCACACCAACAAAATCATGTACCCACAAGATATACAAATGAAAGGTTTAAAAGATGAAATGATGATATTACGATTTGGGTATTACATATATATGCTTCATTCAGGGTTTAACCGAGCTAACCTACCAAAAACGATATTACATGCTGATGGTATAAGAGGAAATGAGTACAGAATTACTGATTACCTCAACGTCCACCAGATAACTCAATAGCATCCTGATTATAGACAGAATCTTCTCCCCAGTCAAATCTCCTTTGTAGTCTTTCGTACTCTTGCCTGCGAGTAACCTCAACATTCTGCCATTCTTCCCAGCGCTCAGCCAGACCCTCTCCTTCTAGCATCCGTACCACCTCTGACATTAACGGGCGGTCTTCAGGAGATCCTTGCGTACAAAGAAGTGCAACTTTGATCATCATTTCTACCTCTTGGATGTTGTAACTATCATTCAGATTGCTGTCAACAATTGCATCCAGTCTCTTTTCCCTTTCCAGCTTCTTGACCTTCAGGAGCAGATAAGCAAACGAGGTTTTACACAGTGAGAACAAACTCAAGGTTTTACACAGTGAGAACAAACTCAAGCAAAAATATGCATTCAATGAACAAAAAACCCCCACATTTTCTTCCCCAAGTGTGATATCATTTTATGTTGAGCATAAGTTACGCACAAAATTCCATACCATACCTACATAGAATTGGAAACACTCTATGACCATACAACTGCACATCATCCGTGAGCATGGAAAGCTCCCAATACCATCAAAACAATTATTACAAGTAAAAATTGAAACACATGCCATTTCCTGTTATCTTAACATGCACGAAAACAAGTTTATTTTTCATGGTCAAGCAACAAAACAAGTTTAAATAAATGCACACTTGGAGAAGGTAGGGAGAGGGGGAGTGGGGAAGAGAAAGAGGGACCCAAATGCAGAAAGAGTTTATCTTACATGGTCAAGCAACAAAACATCATCTTCTTCTTCCAAGCGTGAAAAATCAATTGCCCGTTGTCCAGTTACAAGTTCTAAAAGCATAATCCCATAGCCAAAAACATCTGTCCTTTCTGATGACTTCCCAGTGGACAAATATTCAGGTGCTATGTGACCCATTGTGCCACGAACTTGAGTTGTCACATTAGTCCTTCTAACATCCACCAACTTTGCCAAGCCAAAGTCACCCACAACCGCTTCAAAATCTTCATCAAGTAATACATTAGCAGCCTTTACATCTCGATGAATAATCTTAGGATTACAATGTTCGTGTAGGTACTCTAGCCCACGGGCAGTGCCTAATGCCACCTGCTTTCTTGTAGACCAATCCAAAACGGGCTCACCAGGTTTAATCTCACGTAACCGATAGGCAACACTTAAATTCTGCATAAAGGGATACACTAGAAGGCGTTCTGTTGGAGTCGTGCAAAACCCGATCAGTCTTAATAGATTCCTGTGAACAGCTACACTTATCATTTCTACTTCGCGCTGGAAAGCTGCATCCCCCCCAGGACTCTCATAATCTGTGAGTCGCTTAACAGCAACTTTTGTGTTATCAGATAGCACTCCTTTATAGACTTTTCCAAAACCTCCCTGTCCTAGAACATTTCTCTCACTGAAGTTGTCTGTTGCTAGCTGCAATTCCCTCCACGAAAATCTTTTTAACTGGCCAAATGCAATCCTTCGGTCAACTTCACCTGGGGTGCAGCAATTAAAAATGGTTTTAGATAAAAATTTAAAAATTAAAAATTAATTAATTAAAAATAAAATAAAATAAAAAAAATTAAAAAAAAAACCCAAATGAGCTAAATTATGCATGGCAGGGCTCACCCAGGCCCTATAGACTGAAATTGGTGAAAATATTCATTGACAACAAAATCTAAAATACACAGTTTTAGATTACATGTGCCATGCCCTGTAAGGAGTACCTTTTGGATCCGATCAATTTGGTCACAAATACTTTACATTTTTTTTTTCTTGCATTATTCAGCAACTTGTGCGGTCACATGGAGAAAACACAATCTTTCTTGTAATGATTATTTCATATGTACAGGGTTTATTTCATATGATCCGATGTATATCAAAATCAAGTTTTTATCGCATTCCCATTCTAATCCTTACTTTCCCCTATTACCTCTTTGTTTCTGTCATTTAATTGTAATACCAAAAATGATTCCAATATTTGTTGCTTAATTTCATAGAAAAATAAAATATACAGAAAAAGATGGGCATGATTTCCACTTGGAAATTTGTTTAATTTATTCGGGGGTCCCTTTTACGTCCATTATTTTGGTAATTTACATTGTGTACAACTTTCAGACTAGGAGTTGATCCGGCAATTTTTATCTGTTTCCTTAAATCTTTTTACAATGATGAAGATTTTCTAATGGTTGTGGGATGCCCAGTCACCCAAATGGCCAGCTCGTGGCTCAAAAGGGCCGAAACGTCACTACCCATTAGAGCATGTCTAATGGTAACGGCATTGGCCAGAGGCCAAATCTAGCCTCCCAACCAAAATGTTGCTACTCATGAAGTTTAGCCCTCCAAATTTGTATGAGAACTCAAAATTTGTAACAACGGTCGGCCGGCCAATAAACAATATTTTCTTTTATGAAACTACAAGATGTTGGCACCCCCACCACTCTCAACCTTACCTAATGTGCAATGGCATAACATACCATGAATATGTAAATATTTACCCGAAAGAAGAACCCCTTATGTAATTTCAGCCATAGCGATAAACCAATTCAATAATAACCCTAATTTGGTTGACAAAAAGGAAATTTTTAATGTGCCATTATAAGATTATGGTTGAACCACTAAAGCATGATTGATCAAAACTAAAATGAAGGTTCCATTGATTGATCAGATGATGGGGCTATTAATCAGTTCTACAATTAGCAAGCAATGCGTACCTGCAACATCCACAAAAACTTCACGCTTGCCTTTGTGTCTACACTTGCACATAAAGTACAGTAAACCTCCAAGTAATACTAAAATGATAAGCCCTCCAACAACTCCAACTATGATTCCAAGCTTCGGCTTACTTTTAGGGCCTGTCAAGAGTGGGAAAACCCCATCGTGTAAGCTTACAAAAAGGAAAGGTAAACAGAACAGTTCAATTTCGGATATTGTTATTTGACCCATTAACCTGAACCATCGTTATCAGGTGCACAAGGGCGAGGGAGATTCACACCACAGTTTAGGTGGTTTCCTGTAAAACTGAAACAAGCAACACGGGTCAGATCAAAATTCATGATGCAAACTATATTTTGAATATGTGGGTGTGTGGACACATGGAGAGAGAGAGAGAGAGAGTGGCATGCAGTCTTGTAATGATAGAAACAGTAACATTAACAAGTTCTTCATACTTGTACTTTGGGACATTAAACAACCGCTCAGGTATTTGACCAGTGAGAGCATTGGAGCCTAGCTGACTGCAAACAAAGTTTGAACTGTGGCATCAAATACTGAAGAAATGATCCCCAAGTATACAAATTCACATGGATAACATTCAGAATTCCAAAAGATAGAGAGCCAAATTAAGTCGTATAGTATAACTTGAATGGACAAATCCTGATTTCTCATATCACATGTACATTGTACAAGAAAAGATAACGTACAGACTAATCAAGCTTGAAAGACTTGAAAGTGACTCTGGGATAGTACCACTCAGATTATTGTTATTCAAAATTCTGTTTGCATCATCAAGAAAGCACTGTCAGACAAAATTAAGGATAATGCAGGCTCATTAGATATTAGTGAAAACATAAAACAACACAGATGAAACAACTTACAAGAATTGAAGATTCTTCAGATTGCCAAGAGAAGCTGGTATTTCACCAGTTAAATTATTATTTTCTAAATTCAAGGTGGACAAAACTGTCAGATTTCCAAACTCTTCTGGTATCTCACCAGTTATGCCATTTCCTTCTAATGAACTGCAAGATGAATGCACCTTATACATATTAGAATCAAGGCCATATGGCATGCATTTATATGTCTACAAATAGAAGAGGCAAAAAACCAAAACATAGACAAATGAGAACTGTTGCCCAAGCTTTACACAGAATAAAGAATTAATTGCTACCCTTGAAAAATAATTTTGTTACGATGTTAACTAGTGGTGGAAAATCAATTGGATTGTTAATGGGTAACCAACTAACCACGGAGACACATTTAGTTTGATTTCACCATAATAAGGTTTCACACCATCATCACAACTGCCAATCTCACCACCATATCATGGTGAATCAAACTAGACGGGTCTTAATGGTTACTCATTAACAACCCAATGGATTGGATTGCCACCACTAGCATTAACAATGGTCTCTCACGTGAATAAGAATTCATCTCAAAATCCATTCATACTAAGCTAATATGGGACACATGTATTATTCTAATGGACATATTAACAAACAGAAATGAGTACAACATAAACTTCACGCAAACTCATGGAATTACATATGGGGTTTCGGAAAATTTCATTGCCTTAATGTTCGTCCTGCCCGTTACGTCTTATGGTACTCAATAGAAATCCAAAAAGAAAAACAATATTCACTTATTCTTCATAAGTACGTTGGTGTGCCACAATTCCGGAAAGCTTAAGTCGTTAGGATCATATAAAAGTTGACATTGTCATACTCTACAAACAAGTCTGACAATACTATCCTAACAATTACCTTACTTGCAAAGCATGTGATACGGAGACTCAGCTAAAAAAAAAAATTGACTTCAATAACTCAAGTACAGAACCCAAGTCGCTGTAAATGCATGCCATTATTTATTCTTCAGTAGGCCAAAATTGCGTTGCTTATTGTTAAAAGAAATAAAAATAAAAGTTGATCACAAAAAACAAATAACCGGCCAACTATATATGCCTTAAAAGCCTGCCCTCCTCTCATCTTCCTTACTCTAACAAAAATATAGGAGATTTGATTCTTACATGTCAATATCAAACAACAGATATTGAGAAATACAGGATCTGTGGTGACAATGCTAGTTTTAGAAATGACTCCAGAAAATGGAGTGTACATAAATTATGATAAACATAACAAGTATTCTCCTTACTTACAGTGTTTGAAGATTTTTCAAGGCTCCTAATTTAGGAGACAAGATGCCAGAAAATCCAATATTTGATAATGTTCTGCAAAATGAAAAAGACAAAACTAAGCATAGACAAGTGAAAAACATTAATCTATGAAAGGAGGAATTTTGTATTGTGAAGTGATCCGTTGATAACAATACATCACGATGAACAAAGGATGCCTTACACAGAAACTACATTATTGTTAGGGTCGCAATTCACATTGGACCAAGTGCATGGATTGACTTGATTGGGGTTCCAGTCCTTGAGCTGATTGGGTGAACTATTCAAAGAAGTCCTCAATGAAAACAGCACATCTCCTGAAACCGAAAATGCAAATATTCATCATCCAATCAAAATTCGCTAACAGAAATGCACAACCACTTTACATAAATACTAGAAAAGGAAAATAGTGAACATATTTCCCCACACAAAGACCTCAAGACAGTCCACTAACCCCCTCGTACAGCATTCTTTCTATAATATCCTAGAGAGCAAGAGAAGCATATTCCCCCCCCCCCCCCCGCCCCCACAAAGACCTCAAGACAGTCCACTAACCCCCTGGTTCAGCGTTCTTTCTATAATATCCTAGAGAGCAAGAGAAGCATATTCCCCCACACAAAGACCTCAAGACAATCCACTAACCCCCTGGTTCAGCGTTCTTTCTATAATATCCTAGAGAGCAAGAAAGAGGTGCAGAGAGGACCCAAATGCTTGAATATTTTAATTGCATCAAAGTCACAATATTGGACAATACTGCATTAAACAATACTAGAGTTGTTAGCCTTAGTCTTGTTTCTTATGATATATAACAACAGAAAAAAATGGGAAGATTGTTGTGCATAGCATATCCCAGATGCTGTCTGAATGAATTAAATGCCGCATAACCACAGAACCGTACCTTGTGCATCAGGCAATACAAAAGACGGTAAGCAAGCCAATACCAAAGCTGCAAAGACTGGCTCTATTTTCAACATCATCATTCTTGCTAGTTATGGATGCAATGAAATGCCTGGCGGTGATCAAGGAGCAGTTGAATCAATTTCATATCTCCAAAAAGGGACAAAAATCCTTCAGTGAGTTATAAATATTCAGATAAACGGTAGGAACTGCAAGAATAACAATTTTGAGGCAAGCCTAAGTAGAAGACCTTTTCAGTTTGCTAGTTGCCAACCTACCAAAGTATAATTTCAGTCAGGAAAACAAAACAGCGAAAAAAGAACTTAATGGAAACCAATATGTGTAAGTTTTTTGGCAGCCATAGTCTATATTTGAGTACAAAGCCTAAAGTTTTTCGTCGAGCAGGACTTTCTTAAGAAGCAAAGTTTAATATTAAAATGAATTTCATACTTGGGAAGATATCGGAAATCATCATCCTTTGGCAGTTTTAAGTGCACAATGTAAGAGATTCAATTTTCGATATGCCTCCGTCTTTGTTGGGATCTCATTGTTTTATTTACCACATGATGTTGTTGGCTCTTCTTTTCTCAACAATCATTCATATATTGCAACCAGTAGCAGAAACATTACTAAATCCTATCACACAAGGCAGAAACTCTCGAAAATCGAAACACAAATTCAGCTCAGCCCACAAAACCATTCAAATCAAAACATAAAAAAATGGAGGAAATTGCCGTTCAATCTTCATTCCAGGAAAAGTTCAAGTTTTTTGTCAGTTCCGTTCTCACGATCCTATCAATTTTCCAAGCAACCAAACAAAAGTGAAAAACAAGCAAGACCCATGTCTGCGAATAATGAAAAGAAGAAGAAATTCAGCTGAAAGGAGAAGAAGAGGAAGAAGAGATGTACCTTTAAGGAGGAATCAAGAAGACATGGCAGAGCTTCTGGAAGATTGAGTGAAGCTAATTACCCACAAGCTTCTTAGCTGTTTCCCATGTCCGAGTTGACTGTGAGACTTAGAGGGTTGACAGCGGAGGGAGGGAGAGAGTTCACACTTCAGAGGCTCTGGTTAATCTTAGCTGCAAGCAAATCTGCAATATGTAATCTGCAAAAGAGTCAAAGACGCTTCTTTTCTGTCTTTCTCTGTCTTTTCGCTTCTCTTTCATGAAAACATTTTCTAATTCGATTTTATAATTAATTAAGTAGAAGAAATGAAAGAATTAAACCTCGAAAAAATAAATTAGCTAATTACTTTCTCTCACTTGCTGCTGTTGTTAGGGTTTTGGATTTGGATTCCTTTGGATTTTTTGTGCAGATATAAATTATTTTAAATTTTATATTTAAAATTAAACATAAATATAATTTAACGAAAAATGATCCTACGATATACGATAAATAGATAATATGTGATATTCTTGAGATCCTCATAAAGAGGATCTGGAGAAAATCCTCATCCGTATAACGCTTCCATTCAAGTCTTTCTAGTGAAGAGAGTGAGGGGTAGATTTGGGTTGTATCAGTTACTTATCACCTAATTATTGAGTTACAATTGGTGTTTGTAATTTGATGAATTTGTTGATTTAAAATATAAATTGGTGAATTTGTTGAATAGAGACCAGCAGACATGATATGTCTGCTCTTTGGTAAAGAAAACACTCATCAATCATCATCAACCACAAGGTGTGGTGCAAATGGTAAATTGCCACTTTGGGTTGACAGATTCTAGGTGCCTTCCTGGCAGCGGTTCTAAACCGACTGAGAGTATTTTGTAGCTAGAGGTAAGCCGAATCTCGACCAAAGATTAGTCCCACCCTTCGAGGGTTGGAACACATTGTGGTCTTGACCAAAAAATACAAAGAAAACTTCAAGAGTGTAACAATTTATATGAAACGTAGCTTTTCAATTTAATAATGTAATATTATGTGCTGATAAACTTATACATGATATATTTTCATGAAATGAGACGTCATGATGACTGTAAATCTAGTTCATGTAAGTCTTTTTCATTCAAGAGGAGTTATTTATTTACTGTTATTTATTGTATTGGGGTAATTATATCAACACTTCTTGAAGTTTATCATGTTTTCCCAAATCCATCACATTTGCTGAATATTTTATTCACTTTTACATCACCCCTTAAAGAGGAATTTACTCCTATAACTAATTACACAAAAATAGAAAATTTTATAAATAAATAGAAGAAAAAAAAACAAATTATACAGAATTGATATTAAACATTAAAAGATAACAAAAGAAACCGTAGTATCCTCCTCTTCTTCTTCTCATTGTCGGCAACACAAACATGAATCCATTTTGGCATTTCCTCTACCTATTTCCACATCACATGAATGTGACAAAAACCCACCAAGCAGTCGGAGTCTCAGAGAGTAAAAAACCTCCACCAGTCGGACCCATGCGTTTTGTTTTGAGGTAAAGGCAATCCTCTTGATCTCTTTCTTCCTCCTTTTTTGGGGTTTTTGGTTGTACTCACTCTCTTAGTTGTTGAGGATAGCTTTTGTCATTATAGTCGTTCTCCCGTTTTGTCGAAAAAAGTCTTCATGATTATGGTTATGGTTTGTGCGCTTGGTAATTGACTATGAAAAGGAATCTCGTCTTCTTCTTTTTTTGTTGGAGGTTACTCATAGCATGGCTTCTTTACAGACGATTGTAAGATCAACAAAGGGCGGTGCGCTGATGACGTCCTTTTCTCGTGGTGCTTTTAGTTCTTCAGCTATCAAAGTTAAGTCCTCCTAACTAGAGTTTAGAACTAAGAGTACTTCGTGACTAAGAAATTGTAATGTATTTCTCATGAGTTTATGGTTGTTCAATTGTAATGTTTTTTGGTATGTTAGACCTACTAGATTTTTCTAAGAAACACGTTTGACATGTCTTGTGTTATGTATGGTCCTGACTATTTTAAAAATCTCATTATCTAAAGAAAAAAAAAGAATGTGACGAAGATCGGGTGGCAATTTTACTAATTTTGAAGAAAAATACTAGCTATGCTCTTGAGTATCAATGTAATTTCGTATTGAAACAACAAATCCTAACCCGATTTGTGTACTAATTTATGGAAATGCTGTTTCCCTTCCCATCTAATAAATTCTTCGACATTCTTAATTTCATCATATTAAAATGTGTTAATATGACCGTAGGTCTAGTGATATTCTTTTTTACTTGTATATGAGAGGTCTTATATTCGATTCTCGAAGACATATTTGACCACATTATTGCTAACTCATTGTGAAACTAAACCTATTTTCTTCCATTAATATAGATAATATCATTTATTAAAAAAAACAATTATTGGTGAAAAAATAAATAAATGGTCAAAAGTTCATGTATCATGCTTATTATTGGTCAAATGCCAGATGTTTTTAAATTTTTTTTTTTTCAGATGATTTAGATGGTTGTGTGTGATTAAAGGTAGTCAAGCATCATGCGAGCTATATTGTCACCGAATCTTTCGTCCTCCTTGGCCAACCGACCACGTGGCCATTGTTTGATAGATGTGTACAATGTCAAAGTGCGTTTGTTGTATTAAATTATTTTGGATGAGATTAATTTTAAAGGTTAAGCTAAACTGGTTTAGAGTGGACTAAATTAAATTGAGTTAGTGAAACATTTGAAACATTGTCGGACTAAGAAACAAAATAATAAAAATTAATTCTCTTTTTCGTTTTCTTTGCTTTTCTAGTATCCTCTATCTCTCTCGAACGCTCTCCCTCTTCTTCTTTTTCTTCTTTTATTCCCTTTTCTTTTCTTGAAAAGTTGCTCAGCAGATAGTGCAGAGCTTCGAACAAATTGCGGTTTTTCAATTCGAGTCTAGGTTTTGCCATTAGAAGCTGGATTTCACCCATGCTCGTCTACATCCAAGGGCAGTGAACTGCAAGAAGAAGAAGTGTGCACAACAATCGCCCAATGCCTTTTATTTTTTGTAAAAGCCCAAAAAGCGAAGTAGTCAATGAGAATCGAGGTTGATGAGGACGGAGCCAGAAGCCCATGTCATCGAGAAATTTTTAGTTGTGACGGAAACACGGATGGTACATCATGTGTTTTTATGTAAGTGATGAAAATTTTGAATTTTTAAGTTATTAACCATTTAACACACATGACCCACCATTTATATAGGGACACGTGATGTATCATCTCATGTGACAGTCACACTGAAAAATCTCTCCATATCATTGAAAATCCAGGTCGACGAGGATGAAACCCAATTGGAGGGCGCGATCGATGAAAGTAGGAGGATGCAAGTAGGACAAAAGGGCAGGTCTTAGGCAGTCTCATGTTATGCTTTTTTTTTTTTTTTTTTTTTTTTTTTTTTTTTGCAAAACTAACGAAACATTCTTAAAAATTTTAGTTTTAATGAAAGTGAAAAAATAAAAATGTAAGTTAATAGTACCAAGAGTGACTTTTCAAGGTAAAAATATCCTTAACGTTAAAAGTGAACAGTAACGAGAATGTTTCATTAAGATTTTCTTTTTTGTTTGTTGGGGGGTTCTTGCTAAGACCTCATAGTGAGTTCTTTAGTCAAGGCAAGTCCTCCTTAGTCCCACGAAAGCTAGTCCCGCAAGGCAACAAACATGGACTAAACTAATATAACATACAAGGACTACACTTATATTTAAACTAGTCCAATCCAATGAAAGTTAGTGAGTGCAAACAAATGCCCTTAAAAGTAAAAGTTTTGCTCTTAATGTGAATGGAACCAAACATGTTTAAAATATGTCTTTTGGCGTGCAAGTAGTTGGACAGATATTAGTATTAAAGTGAATATATTAAATTATTAATTAACTGTTGTGGAGACAAATTAATTGAATTCATTTTGAATTAAGAGGTGGTTATAAGCACTAACACTGTGATCTGTACGACATGCACCTACTTGGATCCAAGGTGAGCGTGTGGTGCAGGGTGAATAGTATAAGCACTAACACCATGGGTGCAGGTTATGAGCTCTCAACATAATTCACATCATCATTAAATCACATGAACAACATAAAACTCACCTAATACTCACATGTGCGTCCACAACACCATTTAACATATATGCATCAATTACTAATTCACATATTTCATATATATGTATGCATGGCATTTTAAAACATACTTTCATTTAAATTCAATTTCTGGGAAAATCAATAGTATATAGGTATATACAGAAAATAACTGCCCACTCACCTGGAGTTTGCCCTATAACTCCATCGCACAACACATCGAGGCGTCATGACGATCGGCGCCTAGAACAATCATCAAATCAAACCTCAGAAATCATATCGCTAGAATATATAACTTATATAAAACACGTCACTACGCAGTTCGATCCGAAAGATCTGTAACTCAGACTTCCAATCCATAACTTCCAAAGGTCCACAATATATCTCTAGAACAACATCCTAAAATTTTCTTACCATCCAATGGTCGGATCTCCGTCAATTGTCAAAACCAAGTGACGGTTAACATTTTATTTTATGAACTTACAACTCCAATTCCAGAAGATCCGTAAATTGGATTCCCAATCCGTAAGTTCCTATAATCCTAAAATATTACGTATTACAACGTATCAAAGTTTAGTGACGATCCAACGGTCGGATCGTCAATTCACATTTTCACCTAACCACGAATCGTAACGAACTTAGGTTCAATTACTCAATTTACGTCAATCAATTATCAAACTGAACCTAGAACATTAAACACATGCTAAGAATGACATTGGCGGGCCACTGGCCACGCGCCGCAGCACGAGCTGCCGTGGGTGGCGGTTAGCCGCCCCAGCTCGCCGGAAAATCCAACCATCTCCAAAAATTACCAAAATTTACAGAAATGAAGATCTCAATGAGTAGAGTAAACTTTATACCTGAGGCCAAAGCCAATTTGGCTTGGAAACACTTCAATTTTTCCAAAACCGTGAAGAACCCTAGAAATGAGTGTGTTTCAATTCGACCTCCAAACGTGTTCCGACGCCTCCACCACCGATTGGGCTTTGTTCCTGGGTTCTAGGGGAGTCTAGTGGTAGTAGCAATTTGCTGGATTACCTTCACAATCGTCAGATTTTGCCATAGCACCCTCAAAACCCATATTTTTGTTCTACTCGAATTCAAGCTCAAATCCCATAAAATTAGGTTGGGAATGGAAGAGGAAATGACTAAGGGATGATTGGGAATGGTTTCTTAGTCCAATTTCGAGAGAAATCCGGTGGAAAACCACTGGAAAATATGAAGGAATGGGAATGGGTGCACACGGGTCGCGGGTTGGGGGAACCTGTTTTCTTCCTTCTCTCATCCGCTTCTCACCCTCCCTCCTTTCCTCTTTTCTCTGTTCCGATTGGCCGGTCTCCTCTCTCTCTTCTCCCCATTCGCTGGACTCCCTCTCTGACCCTCATGTTCCCTTCCTCTCTCTTTTCTCGATTGGGCATTCTTGTCCAGTCTCTTTTCTCTATTTCTTCTTCCTCTCACGCGCGCGCACACACACACACACAAAACCTTCTTTCTTCTCATCCCAGCCATCCATTTATTTCTTCATTAAATATGGGCCGTCCACTTTCATAAAAGAAATTCCAGATTTTGCTAAAATTATAATTCCTAAAATGCCCAAATTTCAAACGTTAAAATCTTTATCATTGTAACTCCAAATCACGAACCGTTTGCACCCACGCGTCCGTAGCGACGAGTACTACGAGGGTATGTCAAGAAAACAATTCTTAGATGGCACGACACAATGTTTAATCTCGAATCATGCGCGTGCCTAGAAGGGCATTTTTGTAAAATCATTTATTAAAACTGTAAAAACTCTTAAAATCAGGGACGGGCTGTCACAGTTTAATTATATTGATAAATTTAAGTTTTATTATTAATTTCATTTTGTACTTAATAGTAATTATGCAATAGGGTAAAATAGACAATTAACATTTAAAAGTTAAGTTGGGTGTAAACAGAGATTACATTGGTTTAAATAAAATTTCTTTTTTCCCAAAAACTCATCTCTAACTAAATGTTGTGCTATAATTCTATGGAGCCCATCAGGTTATTATTTGACTAGAAAAGCATCAGGCTAGCTAAATCTAGCTCCCTTTTCAGATTTTTTTTGGGATCCAGCTCCTCAATTAAAATAATTATTTCAAATTCAAAAACTAGATTTTAAAACATTCAAAGGTACTTTAATTAAATTAAGCTTAGATTTAAAGTATAAACTTAAAACTAGTAAAGACAATTTGAACTACATTATTACTAACCTAGTGTGAGGATAAACTCACATCCTTCCCTTAGTGTAAGGGCTGGTTGGTATTGCTGTGCTTTGAAAAAAAACTGCTGTGAGAATAAGCGGCTGTGCTGGGAGAATAAGCGGTTGTGAAATAAATCGGCAGAGTGTTTGGTAAACTTTTTTGTAAAAGTACTTTTGGAAAAAAAAGCAGTCTGATAGTGAGTCTTTTCATTAAAGCAGCACTGTAGCTCCGTGTGCTTTGAAAAAAAGCCAGTTTTCCAAAGCTGCAAATAGCAGCTTCAACTTTTTCCTTTGATTTCAGCTTATTCTCACAGTAGCTTCCAAAATAAGCCTTTTTTTTTTCAGTTTACCAAACACCTAAAACCCTCACAGCTTTTTTTCATGGGTGCTTTTTTTTAAGCACCTCACTCCCAAACCACCCCTAAATGACATCATTTGTTAAAAAAAAAAAAAATTAAAACTACTAAATTATTGATGGACTATGTTTAACCTCTTCGGTTGGAGATAATATATAAATGTTCATTTAAAAAATAATATTTTGAAGAACTATAATTCTGAACGGGACTATATTTATTCTTTCGGTTAGAGATGAAAGGCAAAGAGTCAGAAGACCCAAGAAACCTAGCCGTTAGGGAATCCCCATGTTTAACCTCAGACACAAATCCCTCCACTTGTTCAAACACCTTCCCTCCTCCTCCTCTCTTCCATTTTCTTCACTCTCCGCTTCTAATTACGTTAACTACCATCTCGATTCTTTCCTCTCCAACCAGATTCCAACCTTCCAGCATCTCTCTCAATCCCACGCTCTCATCATCACTTCTGCAAACTCAAACAACATCTTCATATGCGCAAAGCTCATCTCTCTCTACGCGTCTCTCTCCAAACCCACTTCTTCCACCAAAGTATTCGCTTCGGTTTCTCCCAAGGATACCTTTCTTTGGAACTCTATAATCAAAACCCATTTCTCCAATGGCGGCTACTCCAAAGCCCTCGTTTTCTTTTCCAAATGCGGGCTTCTGGTTTTGCTCCTAACCAATTTACTCTTCCAATGGTGGTTTCCTCGTGCGCTGAGTTAATGGTGCTTGACCATGGCAACAATGTTCATGGGTTGGGTAAGAAGCTCGGGCTCTTCGCTGGTAATTCGGCGGTTGGCTCTTCTTTTGTGTATATGTATTCAAAGTGTGGTCGAATGGAGGATGCATCTATTATGTTTGATGAAATTACTGTGAGAGATGTGGTTTGTTGGACCGCGCTTATAATTGGGTATGTGCAGAATGATGAGAGTGAGAAGGGTTTGGAGTGTCTTTGTGAGATGCACAGGATCGGTGGCATTGGTGAGAGGCCAAATTTCAGAACGTTGGAAGTTGGTCTTCAAGCTTGTGGGGATCTGGGTGCTTTAGTAGAAGGTAGATGCTTGCATGGTTTTGTAGTAAAAAGGGGAATTGGGTGTTCTGGAGCTGTTAAATCTTTGCTTTTGTCCATGTATTCCAGATGCGGGAGACCTGAAGAATCTTATCTTTCGTTTTGTGACATAGAAAATAAAGATGTATATCTTGGACGTCAGTTATCGGTGTTTATGCTAGATCTGGGTTAATGGATGGATGCTTAAGTTTGTTTTGGGAAATGCAGGATAGTGATATTTTCCCAGATGAAATTGTTGTCAGTTGCATGCTTTCAGGTTTTCGAAATTCCACAAATATCAATGAAGGAAAGGCCTTCCTAGGATTAGTCACGAGGCAGAATTATGCATCGAGTCAGGTGGTTCATAGTGAACTACTGTCCATGTACTGCAAGTTTGAGTTGTTGACTCTTGCCGAGAAGCTCTTCAGCGGAATGCAGCACCAGAACAAAGAGTCTTGTAACACTATGATTTATGGCTATGGTAAGCTGGGACTGCGTACAAAATGCATAGAACTGTTTAGGAAGATGCGACATCAAGGCATTGAAGCTGATTCTAATAGCTTGGTATCTGTGGTTTCTTCGTGTTTCCAGATGGGAACAATCCATCTTGGCCAATCACTTCATTGCTTTATAATTAAGGTTTGTATGGATGAAAATGTCTCAGTAGCCAACTCACTCATAGACATGTATGGAAAAAGTGGTTATTTGACCATTGCAAGGAGAATTTTTTCTGTGACACAGAAGGATATTATAACATGGAACTCATTGATCTCATCGTACACTCACAATGGACATTCTTTCGAGGCCATAGACCTATATCATAAGATGATTGCAGAAAACTTCATGCCCAACTCAGCGACATTGGTAACAGTGCTTTCAGCTTGCTCTCATCTCGCATCTCTGGAAGAAGGAATAAAGGTTCATTGTCACATTAAGGAAAGACGTATTGGGAACAATTTATCCCTTTCAACTGCATTAGTTGATATGTATGCAAAATGTGGGGAACTTGAGAAATCAAGAGAATTGTTCAACTCAATGGAAGATAGGGATGTTATTTCCTGGAATGTCATGATCTCAGGTTATGCAACACATGGACATGCAGAATCTGCAATAGAACTATTCCACGAGATGGAAGATTCAAATGTTATACCGAACGAACTCACCTTTCTTGCTCTTCTCTCAGCCTGTAATCATTCAGGGCTGGTTGAAGAAGGGAAATATCTGTTTCGTAAAATGCAAGATCTTTCCCTAAACCCAAATTTGAAGCACTATGCTTGTATGGTAGATATTCTTGGCAGGTCCGGTAATCTGCAAGAAGCTGAAGATTTGGTTCTGTCAATGCCCATATCTCCTGATGGTGGTGTGTGGGGATCATTATTAGGTGCCTGTAAGATTCACAATGAAATTGAGTTGGGCGTAAGGGTTGCAAGGCATGCCATAAAATCTGATCCAGAAAATGATGGCTACTATGTAATGCTTTCAAACTTGTATGGTTCTATTGGGAAATGGGAGGAGGCTATAAATGTGAGAAAAATGATGGAGGAAAAGGGCGTCGGAACGACAAAGGGTTGGAGTGTAGTCTAATTTGTGTTGTTAAGAGAAACGGAAATCAGTTTACTACTGGAGTAATAGGGGTCTGTTGCATACCAGTGACAGAAAAGGAAAAAAAGTTTGATCCCGTGTCCTGAATTTTGGTCCACCGGCAAAAATGAGGCCATAACCACTATTGAAGTAATGTTCAGTTTCTATTCTTGTTCATTACGCTGTACTGTTTTTTAAACATGTGATAATGATAGGTTATTGGAGATATTTGCAGAGATATACATGCATTACAGAATGGTTTTCATAGCAGAATCGAGTTCATAACTTGTCCGGAAATGAAGCACACTGATGATTGATTCGAGAAAACATTACATTTTACTTCCTGTTTGATTGTTAGATTTCATTCTTTGAACATAGGTATGACATTAGGAGCATGGTTGAAGAAATTAAGTTGGCTCTTCAACCATGGTATGGCCTCATTCTATGACTATGAATGCCGATGTTTTTAATCCATCATATAACATTGATATAACTTTTCATATTGTTTCCCTCTGCTGTTGTACCGTACAGTTTTAGCTAATTTCCGATCTCGGAGTACTGCCAATGCCAAATGCTCCCATCGTCGCCTCAGGATAGTGGAGATTCACAAGCTTTCTGATCCCCAAGTAATTACAGAACGTTTGAACCTCAATGTTAATGAAGTATTTATTCAATGTTTCAGGTTGAAGAAATGCCTCATGGGAGAGAGGCCTTTCCTATATTACACATGTACGAAATCCCTAGTTTGCCTAGGGCTTCTAAAATTTAAACACATCCGATTGAGAGCGACTTACATGCAACTTAGATGCCACGTGACCAATTACATGTAAGTTCTTCTCTGTTCGAATTGCCTGATTATCTTCATAAACTAAGGGAAATTGGAGGTTTAGAGTAAGTCGTCTTATCCACTGCAATACAATCTACTATTGACAGACAAAAAAAATATTTTCTCTTAAATGGAAACTTCTACAATATTGCTTAGAATCAAATGATATGAGAATATAAATGAATGTGATTGAAAATAGAAGATCTAAACAATTGTAAAAATCAAATATAATAACTAAAACACATGTAACATTGAAACCACACCATTTGTCATTTGATTTCTAAACGTGTATCACATTTCTTTTTTCGACCTAAAAAAAATGCCATACATGTTGTTCAAAACCCAATTGTAATTATTTACATGGTGAAAGAAAACACCATTTGTGTTTAAATAAAAGCGTAAAACACCGAAAATGGCAACCCCTAATTTAACTAACATACAGAAAATGACAAAAGAGCCTTTAGATGTAAGCGTCCTAATTGTAATAAAAAAAGGTGGTTAAAGCAGATAATCTCAATCCAAGTAGGTGATTTAACATTAACAAATGTATTAATTTATTATTAATTCAACAAACGAACAGAAGTGCAGGTCACCTACGTTATTGGTTTGGTCAGTCAAAACAAGTGGCCTGTGGAAAACACACACATATTTGATGTGGACGTGCACCCACATCTCGTCTAATCAAAGACTTTAGCCGCTAGAGCTGGTTAAGCATGACCCGCGCTTTTGGTCATTGGCTATAAAAAAGTAAGTTAAGCTTCACAAAAAACCATTAAGAATCAAATTTAAGATTTATTACTTATATATGAAGAAGAATATCAATACTAAATAACAAGTCGAACTTATTTATAAGTGAAAAAGAATACCACTAAATTGTAATATAATTTTTTTTTTTTTAATATATTGATATAATCAACACAATGGGCAACCTAATTTGTTATCAAATTTGTCATCCACGAGATTCGAATCTAAGACATTCTCACTTTCATGTAAACAGGAATACCATCAGACCATCTTTTTTTTTGAATTTTTTTTTTATCAGAGTGTTTTTGACACACCCCGACACAAAATCAAGATGTGATGGTCGTCATGTGAGAGTGACGTAACCATGTGCACAGTGCGGAAGCAATAAAGATATAAGGAAATGCGATTAAACAAAAACCAAATCAACTAGACTAGATAAGATAAGGTGCGAGTGCAAGATTAAGTGTGAAATACACAATCAGAGTATAAATAGCCTAAGTACAGTCCGACTGGACAAGTACTACTTATACAACACCCAAAGGTGATACTACATTTATGATGTTCTATCAGCGCCACCGTCGAAATCCCCGAGAGCCACCAAAACACTTCTACCTAAAACCTGGAGGGGCGCAAAACAAAAAGTGTGAGCGGGCAAAAACAAAGCTTTTCAAAATCATTTCATGTCTCAAAAGTTCTAACCCCTCACCGTAAAACCTGTATAATTTCCCAGAAATATAATATATGCTATATCAAAATTCATGCTTAGGATGGAAATCTATAAAAATATATCATGCCAAAGTATCTCAATGAAATGCTATAAGTAATCCAGTTAAAATATATCAAGGCCATATATCATATCAGCCGGATCCACTTAACATTACCTGCACGGCTGAGTATATAGCTCATAACCAATCTCAATCATATCAAATCCTGCACACGAGTCAAAACCACCTAAAATGGTCTGTACGACAAGATTAGGTGTAAAATAAATATGCTCTAATGCTACGATCACGTGAAGGCTGTGCGAATGATCGTGGGTCACCTATGAGTTGGAACCACCTAAAGTGGTCTGTACGACAAGCCTGTGCACCTAACTTGGATCCAAGGTGAGCATATGGTGCGGGAAGTAAACATCACGTGAAGAATTATGCCCTAACTTTTGGCGGGAGCACTAACACCGGGGTGCAGGTTTATGAGCTCTCAATACATCACATCTGATGTGAAAAATAAGTTAACACACAAAATTAAACCATCTTTTTATCAATTGTAGCAAAGTATGTAAATAGGTATCGTTCTAAACCGGGGATTAGGAGGGATTGCTAAACACTTGAAAACTGACTTAGAAATGTAAAAACAAAGTTTAAAGCACTAGATTAGACTCAAAGAATGCAAAACTCACGTTTAAAATACTAAAACAAACCAAAAACTCAAAACAGCAATCAAAAGATTCAAAACTGCCTTAAAAACACTTTCTGGGCAGTTTTGAACACAAAGCATCAAATTGGACGAATTTGGGTTTTAACTTGTACCAAAACACTTAAAAACATAAACCAACACACTTTCCAATTAATCTAGGAATTCAAAATAATTGGGGATTTGATTTGGACGAAAATAAACTTAAATGGCAGATTGTAAGAGAAACAGATTGTAATACAAAGTTATGAAGAATCAATGGATGATGGAATGGCTAAGGGGTTCTTCTCCACACATGAAATATATGCAACCTAAATCGATTTCCAGTTATCAATTGAATAAGTTATGAACCTCGACACTCCAAGTTAATTAGATCCGCTTAAATTAACCTTCAGATTTCCCTAGAATCATTGAATTGGATGAATATGCATCGCAAACAAATTATTTCTAACAAGTTCTTTATATGAACAGCATGATAAAGATACAGGTTAGAATCATTACGTTCTTTGGAAATCATAAGCATCGACAAGGCATTCGTAACTATGAAAAGCATGATACTCTTGCCAAGAATCTACTTAACACAATCGTGACTAGCGACCTTTACTACTTACGAATATAAATTCATAACGATTAGGTGAAACAAACTTATATCCTAGCATCAAATTCAAGTATGCAAATTAAGCGTGCACTCTCAACCAACATACAAGAATAAGTTTTAAATCAAACGGTTAAGCAAATTGTATTCACGACTCATGCAACGATAACCGAGAGTAATCAATTTATTTCACATATATAATCATGGTTTTGAATCCACCCTTAGCCAAAACGAATTTAGCTAATCATACTTAAAGCAAAACAAAGATTACATGAATTAGACATTGAAATATAAGATAGAAAACACCTAAAATCGTTCAACAACTCATAATGAGTGGCCAAACAATCGTAGTGAATCTGTCCCCTTCTTTGCTTGCGGCATATTGGGTTGTGAAGATGTTTTGGGTAGTTTTATGGTGTAGAATGGATGGGGAATGGTATGGAGAGGTTTAGGGTGAGTATGGAGGAGTGTTTGATGGTTGAAGGATGATAGAGAACTCGACAAAGAGGGTGGAATAAGGTGGAGTGGCTGTTATGTTTTCTGGGCACTAGAATGGTGTTTTTGGGGTGTTTTGCTGCCTAGGGTGAGTATGGACGAATTTTCTACATGAATGATGAATATGGGAGGTTGAACCCTTTGCCAAGGGTTGTAAACATGTATATATAGGCCCCAAAAACCCTAGAGAATCAGATTAGGCAGTGGGGGAAATGCACAGCAAGGAGGGTGAATTTGTGGTGTGCAATGGTCCAAGGATGAAAATTGAGCAATGATGCAAAGTATGGAGGGTAAAATGGAGTGGTATTTCAGCTAGGGAGCATGAATGATTGTGTTCATTGCATGGAAATGAAAATGGGAGGTGAAATGTTTCAGAAATTAGTCAAAGGTGCAGCAACATGTGTTGCACACGGCATTGGATCCCAAATGTGGATGATGGAGCATCAATTGGTGCATGGAATGGTTGTGAAAGTTGTGTGAAATCTGATGGGTGAAGGGAACAAGAGGTATGCAGCAATTGAGTGTGATAATTGAGTGTATTGAGGCATGAAATCAGAAATATTTTAGGGGACAAGGATGATTAAGCATGCATGGGAATCCAAAGGGAATGCTATGTGGATTGCACGGCAAGGATGTGTGTCCTTTTGTGGCTGAGTTCTTGATCCTTTGTACACTAATTCTTCACATTCTTAGCCTCTTTAAGTCTTCAATTTCGTCCAAACCTTGGTTCCAAATATGTGACATGCATTCCAAGCTCCATTTTGCTCCAAAATGCTCCAAAATGCATCTTCTTGCCTACTTTGTCCTTAAAATCTGAACACACGAAAATGACTTTAAACATTAAAATAACTAAGGAAACACGACATAAATGCACAAGAACAAGCCAACTAAGTCGCATAAATATGCTCCTATCAACATCATATCTCGTATAACTGAAGTAATCTCATATCTTTAATTTATGAACTTACCTGGCACTTACCTGTGCGTCCGCAGCACCAATCATAAATATATGCAACTACTAATGCATAAATAAAATAGGCAGATACTTTGCATGACATTTCAAAACGCATAATCATTCAAATTCATTTTCTGGGAAAAAAATCTCAAGTATATAGGTATATACGGAAAACCAAAAGCCCACTCACTGGTATGT